AAACCGTTAGGTTTAGGTTTGAATTTTTTTGAAACCGGTCAAAACGGTTTGGTTTGAAAATTTGTCAAAAACCGCAAAAACCGGACCGCTTACACCCCTACTAACCAGAGAATTTTAATAGTTTTTGCACAATAAATACGTTATATCTTTCGTTCTTTCCAAATCACAAACAAATCCATTAATCACCTAGACACACAAACATTATTTTTTTAATCCAAATAACAATTCACAAGTGTATAATATTTTCACAAACAACAAATAAATGAAAGAACAATAAAAAAAAATAGTTTGAATGGGAATTTGAGACTTACCGAGACAGAAGAAAGAAATAGGCGATTCAAGTAGAAATTAGCAGACTAAGAAGCAAAAGACGACTGACGATTTGCGATTGGGAATCTCATTTCGTTTAGCAGTTGTGGCAAGTATCAAATGTTTGAAAAATAAAAATTTAGGTTATGGCTTTTGAAGTTCTAGGCATGATTTGCTGTCGTAGTTTTGTTGAATTATGATTTAGATTTTCGAAAATATAAGTTTCTTTTTTTCATTTCATATCATTTGGGAATAATTTTAGTTTAGTTTGGATATCGGATCTGGGCATGTGTTGTAGACTTATAAAACCATGGGCCGATATTGATGAACTTACTTTATATGACTATTTCAGTGGGCTGGTTGTAATTTGTATTGTTAAATTGGTATTTTTCTGAAATGGAAAAATTGTAAAATTTATAAATTAATAAAAAAAATTAAAAAACTGTTCGGTTTGATTATGTTCGATTTTTGAAAATTGAAGTTTAAACTAAACCATTTTGAAATGGTTTGAGGGAAAAAATAGCAGATCCACGTGGACCCGAACCAAAGGTTTCGTTTCAGTATGCGATTTCGAAATTTTTTTTGTGCAGCCCTATAGAAAAATCTTTGTCTAAATTATGTTATCATTTACACAAGAAGTAGAATAGCTCAAAACTATCCTATGCAAGACAATACCTAATAAAGATACATTCACAATGGAAGGTTTAAAGGATAACATCTACCTATCCTATGCAGATTTTGATCATTGAACTTTATCACCAAGTCTTTATATTTCTCTTTTTGCATCTCTCTCAATTTTCATTTATATGGCGGACTGTTGGAAAATAATACTCAATAGAGGCTATTTTGACATTTTTCGTGTGATCAATTCTTCGTTAATGAATATCAAAATTAATTCATTTCTTTTCATGAGAACATCGAGATCATATATTTACTTGTCAAAAATAATGATCGAATTAATGAGAAATTAGAGCTCAAAGTGAACCTATTGGTAGAGGTGTATGTGTTGGAGGGGAAATATTTTAGTGTGTCCCATATAAAAAAGTTGATAAGCAAGGACTATTTTATGTATGACAATACATTATGAAGGTGCAATTATGAGTGGCATATAGGCTTTTACATTTGCAAGGGGTAAAAGTAACGAACCAGATTAGCACCCCAAGCCATTGTACTCGTGTAAGAGCGCGAATTGTGAAACGAATCTCGAACTGTAATTGATCCCTTTGTAAGATTCAGGTTTTGCCTTTATTTTCTTTATTTCCAATTCCCCTTCCACCTACTACAACTCCTGAAACGTCAGTGGTTACAGTCATTTTAATATGTTGTAAATGGCTTAATGAATGAAATCAACTAACCATTTATAGAGTTGAGCTCATAATAGAGATCGATTTTCCTATACTCCACATATACGAAATTCCTTTCTTCTCTGTTCGCATATAAATTTTCAGTTTCCAACGCCCAAAACTTTATTTCACCTCTGTTAAAAGCCTTGGTGATAGTTTGGAGCAAATTCAGTTCGTTAGACTAGAAACTTAAGTTCTCAATTTTTACTAGTTTATCTTTCTTTCATGGGTTACAAAAGTTCAAACGAAATCTTAAAACACTTACCGTGAAGGACGAATCTGTTTTAAGGTAATTACGTAATACAGAGACCTGGGGTTGCTATTCTAACGTTTGAATAGAATATAATATTATATGAGTTTCCTAAAATGTCTTAATCTAAATATACATCTGAGTAACTAAAGAGATTTGTTTTCAACATATCAAGTCATGTGCTACTCCTAATATCAATTGGAAAAACCATGTCAAGAATTGAGGTGAGTAGATGAAGAATCCCTCATTGTACAAAAGTGCAATAGGTGGACTCCAATAATTGGCATATACAAGACCTCATATAACCTTTGAAGTAAACAAGATGAGCCGATTTTTGCAAGCACCTACGGATTTACATTGGAAATCTTTAAAAAGGATATTTAGATATCCAATGGGAACAATTGGCTAGGCTAATGGATTTAGAGAAGTACATATTAGACATAACTGATTTTGTTGATGAGATTGGTCTTCATGCTCAAATGATAGAAGATCAACCGCAATGAATTGTATCTATTTGGGAGATACATTTGTCACTTTGTCCTTAAAGAAACAGCATATTGTAGTCAGTCCAGTACTAAGTCAAAATAAAAAGCATTAGCATGCGCAACAATTGAAATCCCATGGCTTGAATCATTACTTAAAAGAGTTAAAAATCCCATCAAGAATTGGTGTCTACACTGTGGTGTAATAACTTAAGTGCTAGTGTTCTAGCATCAAATCTTGTTCNTGTAATAACTTAAGTGCTAGTGTTCTAGCATCAAATCTTGTTCGCATCCTCGGATGAAGCACATTGAATTGGACATACACTTTGTTATGCATAAGAGCATCTTCAATAGGGTGTAAAATTGATTGTAAATTGACATTTTCAAAATCATTTTTGCATCCTCATTTATATTTCGGTGAATCTAAATTCAAATTCTACTCCAATGAGTAGATCTAAATGCATTTTTTATCTGGTATAGATGTAAAAAAAATATAAATCTACATTTTTTGTGAAAAAATACAATTTCCATTTACTTTGTATCTCTCCATTGGAGAAGTTTTCGACTACTTTGAAGATATAAATGTTTTCTATTTTACATCGCCATTAAAGAGGCTCTAAAGTTCTTGAGAAGAAGTTAAAGATACATTATCTACCGTCCTCATATCAAATAGTAGACTTGTTACCTATTCTTGCAAAACCCAAATTCCTATTTCTTAAAGGCAATCTATGAATGAAAAATGTTGAATTCAGCTTCAGAAGGGGTATTAAGATTTGAAATCATTCAATGGATAAGTATTGCAGTGGAAAGTTAAGGCTTTGAAGAAGAGGTACAACAGAGTAGAGGTTAAAGGCACATGATGCGTATTATGTTTTATCAAATATGAATTTATAAGTGGAAAGCTAAACTGTAATTTCATTCTTTGTAACCTTTTTTTGCTCATATACACGCTTCTTCCTTACACATAAGCTGTAGCAGAATTGGGTTTCATTCTTATTGACGGTAAAAATTACGATGAACAAATTCTTTTCACCTAACATGATTTTCGCCTCCTAAACTCTCTTTTTTGATACTCAAACTGGAACAAGAGGAGAAATTGTTATTTGAGAAGAAGATATTTAAATTTACATGATTTTCTCCATTTAGACGGGGTATATATAGATTTCCTTCAAGATTTTGGGGCTAATTAGATTTTTTGGAAAATAACAAGTGGCGGTCTTTCACTGGTCGCCTTGTGATTGATTCTGTTATGCATTCGCGTTTTATTCATTTATCTTGTGTGTCTGGTGCTCATTGGTTTGGAAGTTATGCCTTAAATATTTGCTTACACGCATTTTAATAGCGATTGTTTGCCAACCTGGAAGAAAGGCGATTCACACTTCCGAACCTGCTATATTTTTACCATCTTTGCATACTTTTAAACATCACCTAAATGGCGCGAGCTTGCAAAATAAAACTTTTATTCAACAAATATTCTACTAAGTTCGAACATAATTATTTAAATTTGGACTGTGAACTTGAAGTATTGTTCCCCTTTTTTATGATAATTAATATCTTGGTTAAATAGAATGTTTCTAGTCTTTAATGATGATTCACACATGATTAGGAGAGCGTCTTTTTGTCTTGCTCCATTCAATGTGTGTGTCATTCAAGCTTGTTCATGGCCATTTACTTGTCTGCCTTTTCGTATTTGATGCCTGAGATTGTTTCACTTTTTATGATCGATAGCGAATCTATTCAGATTCAATGGCTAGGATGTGTTCTTGAACATTATGTATACGCCATGTTATCAACTGCTTATTGTTGTCTTTTTTATATTGCATGTGTACGATATCGTAACAAGCGGTATAGTGGACCCTTGAGTCCGGCTATCGTTCCCATGAGGACTGTACTTTAGGACTTAATCTAGTTTTTTTAACTCCTATTTGATAAAAGAAAGTAAATAATTATGATGGTTGTGAGTATTTTTCTTATTGCAAATATAAAATGATTGCAAACAATGGATAATTGAAGAT